TTTTCTCACATCACAGAGATGTGCAAACAGAAGGGTTGACACTTGGGAGTGGACAGATAAAGGTAATGAGAGGTGACTATGCTCGGAGTCCATGGCATTGGTGGATAAGAATGTCATAATGAAATCATCACTTTGTGCAATGACTGACTGTATGTTAGTCTAGTGTTCTGTTTTTTTTTTGTTTTGTTTTGTTTTTTGTTGTTTTTTTTTTTTTTAATCTATGGATGACAAGAGTGGTTTGCAGTGTGTAGTCAGGAGCCGGCTCCTGGGTAGGAAAACTGGTCCTCGGGAGGTGAAGCCCCCTCTGCAAGGGCCAGCCCAGATATAGGCTCTTGTCTCCAGTCCTCTACCGCCTCGTGGCCCAGCTCCCTTTCCCATTTCAGTCGCTTGCTGAGTACCCAGAAATCCTCTGTATGTGTTGTAAACTGAGCCAAAAAGAGGGAATCAGAAATTGCTCTCTTTTGAGTATTTTGAAGGATGGTGAAACCTTGTTAGGAATGTTGCTCCAGGGACTGAGAAAACACCATATGTGGGAATGCATGGCTGAGTGAGGAGAATAGCGTGCGCGCCCTGGAGAAGGGTACCAGGGAGAGGGTAGGAAGGGGGTTTTACTGAGGTCTTTAACAGGTCTTTTTCTAATTATAGCCAAGAAGAGCCTGGGGACTATGGCCTGCTTCAGAGCCAAGGCCTCTATTTTCTTTGGGAAAAGAAGGCAGAGTTGATTGGCTTCCAATCCAGGCTTGGCAGAAGCCCACGCAGGATTTCAAGCCAGTAAGCAGTGCCTTGGGTAGGTCTTGATTGGTGTCGGTGCCCATTCAGTCAGCAGATCCTGAAGCTCTGCAGCCATGTTGAGCTCCAGGCTGGGCTTGTAGGATTAAATAGACAGGCTTCCCCACGGTGGAGGAGGAGACCTACCGCTAATAACAGCCATAGACGGTTGCTGAAGCCGAACCTTTTCAGAGGACTGTGAGCATTCCATAAGGGAAAGCAAACTCACTGTTGTGCCCGGCATAGCTGACACTGCTCTCCTGTTTCCGTTCCCCATGCTGGGGAAATAATCCCCTAGGGAAACTCCTACCCCAAGAGACGCGGTAGGAAGTGAAGGAAGTCTGACCGAAAAAGGGCCAGAGATCACACTTCGCCTCTCCTCGTGGCCAGCAGAATCACAAACCTCACTTCCTACTTCCTGCTCTTGCTTCCTTAATCTCCTGTCCCTGTGTACCCAATTCATGGGGTTCCTTGTCTCCCACAACCAGCATGGCTGGCCAGAGCTCCAAGCATGTGTAAGCAGTGACAATTGGGAGTGACCATGCTGGTACAGTCGGCTGGCAGCCAGATGTAGAAAGAGAAATTTTCCTTATGTACGTCTTCTATATGTACGTGCAACAGAGACAGGCATGCAGCCCGCCTGTTATTATGGACAACACAAATTCGTGTTCCACCTCCGTTTCTAGTACACTCTGTGTGTGTGCCTGATCGTGCCCTCCCCGTTATGTGATTATGAAAAAGCCTTGTCGAGCTTGAGGAAGAATCGGGTGTCCTCTAACCCCTGATGCTACCTAGCAGTTCATCAGGCCTCAGTATCTAGGAGTCTCTGCAACCCGGAATGTGTTGCTTTGGAAGATTCTTGTCCCAGTATTCTTGGGATTGCTTTCTCCAAAAACGAAGAAAGGTAAGAAGGAAGGAAAGGAGGGAGAGAGGAAGGCAGAAAGGGAAGGATAAAAGGAGATTTCCAAAATGGAGTCCAGAGGATGCCTGCTGGGAGTTGAGCAAGTCTTGCAGACAGTTTAGAAACACTTCCTGACCTCACATGGCATACTCTCAGGACTCCCTCCCGGGTGGATTGATGGTAAGGAACGGTGTGGAGGAGGGGCTGGATGAGGTCCACGGTACCTTCCATGGGCCTGTGAAGGATGCTAGACCTACTAGAGTACCATTTGGAGGACAGACTGATAGAACGGAAAGGAAGCGTGTTGCTGTTGCGGAAGGCAGTTGGAGAGCGTCAGAGAAAGGCCAGCTTAGGAAGCCAGTGGCCAGGAGCAGGAACAGCTTTAATGTAAGTGGTCATGAAAATGGCGAGGATGGAAGCCTTGCCCCTAAGTCACAAAGCTTGGAGAGAAACAGTGAATCGGGTTAGAGTGGGGGGGCGTGAGAGCAGTACAACTGATGGGAAACGAGAGCAGGGGGCAAAGACACCGCCCCACCTCCTCTTTCTCTTAGCACTGTGTCCAGTACTAGAGGCTGTACCTGGAATTTCTCTCAAAGGCCCAGGTATTCAAGGTTTGGTTCTGGCTCCACAGGTACCGAGAACTTGCAAGAGGCCTTCATAGCGCTGGAGACATGTCCTGGGATAGGGCTCTCTCCTCCTCCCCTCCTTCATTTTTCTTTTGCTCCAGGCCATGGTTGATATTTTTTTTTCACTTAAGCACACTCTTTTTGACTGTGTCACCAGAACCAAAGCACAAGGCCAATTCATCACAAACTGAAGCCTCGAAAGCCGTGAGCCAAGAAACCTCTCCTTTTCTTTATATAGTGATCCTCTTCGGTATTTGGTATAGTAGTTGACCAGCAAATCAGCAAAGGCACGAGGTCAAATGTGCTTTCGTTCTTAAAAGTTGCTTTCATTTTTATTTATATGTGCATGCATGGGTGTGTGACACATGTGTGCTGGTGTCCATGGAAGTCAACAGAGGATGTTAGCTCCCCTAGAATTATAGTTACCTACAGTTGTGAACCACCCAACATGGGAGCTGGCCCGGAACTTAGGTCCTCTAGGAGAACAGCAAGCACTTTTACCTCCGGAGCCAGTTTTCTAGCCCTCAATAGAGCTTTTGTTGTTGTTTTGTCTTGTTTTTTTTTTTTTTTTTTTTTTTTTTTTATATATACTGGGTTTCTCTGTAGCTTTGGAGCCTGTCCTGGAACTAGCTCTTGTAGACAAGGCTGGCCTCAAACTCAGAGATCTACTTACCTCTGCTTCCCAAGTGCTGGGATTAAAGGCATACGCCATCACTGCTCGCCTCAATAGGGCTTTTCTAGCAGTAGCTTTGGCTTCAAAATTCATGCTACCATCCCAAAGACTTCCTTCTTAGCCCAAATCCATCATACCATCCAATACCCAGCTTGCCAAGTCATCCTTATTATTACCTTGCCCACCACTGTATGGACTTTTCCTTTACACAAGAGGCCCTGCATGAACAGATATCACCCCTGATGTGCTTTCCTGTGAGCGAGGACGCTCATGTGTCCAGGACAACCTGGTAAACTGTCCTTAGATAGACTCCCAGTTTCACATAATCTTGCAGCTATACGGGGGCGAGGGTGGAGGAGGCTGTGCATGCTGTTTATCTTGTGGTCTTGAAGTCACATTTCGTTAGGTTTGCAAGATTGATGGAAATGTCCCTTTTCTGCAGAGCGGGAGGGAGATTAATTCTCCTGTGGGAACCATTTTCCTGGGACAGCACAGTTCCTGGACTGGTGTCTAGGGCAGGCAGCCATGTTAGAATCCTTCCTTGGCTTTGCCTTTGAAGGAATCAGTCATCCTAAGAGTGGTTCCCAGGGGAGGAAGATGGTCCCCTTATTCACAGAGGCAGGCCAGGAACCAGCAGGTAGATGGTCCGGTTAATGACTGGACCTTTGTCATCCTTTGGGGATGAGAGAAGAGACGAGGAAGTAGCTGTTTGGTAATTCTGGAGACAGGCTCCTCAATGAAGATTCATAATCGAAACTTCTTTTCCACAGCTTGTGCCAACCTTGTTTGTTCCTTTTGTTTTCCCCCTGGATTCTGTAAGATCTTTCTGAAAATACCAACACTGAACCAACGGAAAGGATTTTATTTTCCATGTGAAGACAGAACTCTGAAGAGAAAATACCCATGGGGCTGCTGGGGTGGCAGCAGCGGTGATTAAAAAGTGGATGCTCTGGGTGTGGGGTAAGGGGACTGCCAGGTCATGGTCACCAGCTCAGCTGGCTTTCCACCTGAGAGTCTCCCCCTTGGGCTAACCTCCCGGAAACATGGGCTTGGCCCTAGCACAGGAGAGGTGTGTGAGGAGGATCTCCAGATCGCTCTGCAATTCCACAAGGACTCTCCAGGAGCCCTGTGCTGAGGTTCTGTTATGGCAACAGAAGAGAGAGCGGTGGGTTAAAGAACCATTTCAGGAGGGAGGTGGTGGAATCAGATGGAGGACTACAAAAAGAAGTAGAAAAATAGAAACTAAAAATCCTTAGGGAAAAAAAAGAACTAAAATCAACCCTTGCTTCTCAGAGGAGGTAGAGCCGTTCATTTGAGCTTTGTTTTGCTGGGTCTCTCTTTTCATCAAGGGGTGCTTCACAGAGCTGTGGGTTTTAGGATTGATGGATAAGAGGGGTGCGCTGGTGACGCAAGGCCTTCTGGGAGCTGACAGAGCACCTTGGCACTTAGGCCCTCTCAGCAGGTGCCCGGTGGCCTTGTGTTTGTTTCCAAGGACAGGAGGAGCCAGGAATGAGCCTCTCTCTGATGCTACACTATATATAAAAACAGCAGACCCAATGGCCAGCCTCAGTGTGTCCTCCTGGAAGGCCCTACAGGCTAGAATTGGACCGATAGCACCACATGTCTTGAGGAAATTACAAGGCCCTGAACTGAGAAAGCAGTACATGGATGCAGTCCTCAGCGCGGCCTCGGTAGGGTGGGCCATGTATCTTTCCCAAGCTCAAGGGACTTGTCAGGATGTCACCGGTGCACAGCAGGAGGCTGGGGAGCAATGCAGACATCTGATGTAGAAACAACTGGTGCTGTCAGTCTAGAAAGCAAGCCCTCCAGAGCCCCGTGGTGCATTCCCCAGGATTTCTCAGGGGCTGGGGGAGGAAGCTGCCCCTTCTAAATAGCAGGAAGGAGCCGGGCTGCTTCCTTAAATGGTGGTGCCCTCTCCTTTGCTCTCAGAGATGTCAGTCTCGGGCAGCTGACACCGGAAAGACCCGGACTCTCGCAGCCAGCTCTTAACACCTGTGTTTCCTCTTTGCAGATCTTACAGGTGAACAAGGTGATGTCCATCTTGTTTTATGTGATATTTCTCGCTTATCTCCGTGGCATCCAAGGTAACAACATGGATCAAAGGAGTTTGCCAGAAGACTCGCTCAATTCCCTCATTATAAAACTGATCCAGGCGGATATTTTGAAAAACAAGCTCTCCAAGCAAATGGTGGATGTTAAGGAAAATTACCAGAGCACCCTGCCCAAAGCGGAAGCCCCCCGAGAACCGGAGCAGGCAGAATCCACCAGGTCGGAATTCCAGCCCATGATCGCAACGGACACAGAACTACTACGGCAACAGAGACGCTACAATTCGCCCCGGGTCCTGCTCAGTGACAGCACCCCTTTGGAGCCCCCTCCCTTGTATCTCATGGAGGATTATGTGGGCAACCCGGTGGCAGCCAACAGAACGTCCTCACGGCGGAAACGGTATGCAGAGCATAAGAGTCACCGAGGGGAGTACTCGGTGTGTGACAGTGAGAGTCTGTGGGTGACCGACAAGTCCTCAGCCATTGACATTCGGGGACACCAGGTCACAGTGCTGGGGGAGATCAAGACCGGCAACTCCCCCGTCAAACAATATTTTTATGAAACGAGATGTAAAGAAGCCAGGCCAGTTAAAAACGGTTGCAGGGGAATTGATGACAAACACTGGAACTCTCAGTGCAAAACGTCCCAGACCTATGTCCGAGCACTGACCTCAGAAAACAACAAACTCGTAGGCTGGCGCTGGATACGAATAGACACTTCCTGTGTGTGTGCCTTGTCGAGAAAAATTGGAAGAACATGAATTGGCATCTGTCCCCACATATAAATTATTACTTTAAATTATATGATATGCATGTAGCATATAAATGTTTATATTGTTTTTATATATTATAAGTTGACCTTTATTTATTAAACTTCGGCAACCCTTACAGTATATAAGCTTTTTTCTCAATAAAATTCGTGTGCTTGCCTTCCCTCAGGCCTCTCCCATCTGTTAGCCTTGTTCTGTGACCGGGCTCTTGGGAATCCTTCTGTAAAAACCTGTGTACACCAGTATTTTGCCTTCAGTATTGTCAAGGCCATGACTGTGGTTTTAGTAAACTTCTTCAAATCAGATGATGTCAGAGTTGTGTATAAACAGAGTTCTATCCCCTTCTGGTGTGTTCCACGTTAGATTAATGAATTAAAAGAACCGCTAAGGCCTCCGTTGAAACGGTACCTTGTAGCCCGCGGCTTGGCATTCTCCTCTGGACAGCAAGCTCACGATCAGGTCCTCACTTACTCTTCCCAGCTATGGGGCCTGCCAATTAGAGCTGTGGTCTGCGCCAATAATAACGAACCTGGCACTTTTACTTTTCAGCACATTTGTTGTTTGGGGATTGTGTAAGGGTTGGAATTTTTTTTTTCTTTTCGTTTGGCTTTGGTTTTGTTTTTGCTTTTGGTAAGTGGTTTTCATCCTTTTAGACAGGGAGGAAAAAAATTGCCTAACTATTTCTAACAGACTTTTTGTGTTGTGTGTGTGTGTGTATGTGTATGTGTGTGTGTGTGTGTATGTGTGTGTGTGTGTGTGTGTGGTGCTGGGGTTCAAACTGTAACAGAAAAATTATAGATCTACCCAGGAGCAAACTGAAATGGCTCATGAATAATCCATATACAGAAGATAAATGTACTCATTAAAGATTCTCTTGGCCCAGGGACTTTGCCATGAGCAGTTGTAAATGGGTAGGCTTGGGAGAAAGAGCTGGTTCAAACTCCAGCCCCTCCCCTATGACCTTGCAAAGGGTTTGAAGACTACCAGAGCCTGGGTTTCCTGGGGATGCAGTCATTCTGAGATTCCCAGGATCGCTGACACGTCAGTCAAGTCCCCATTATAAACTTAGTAGCCAGAGGTAGGTCTCTGAGAGTGTCGTGGCCTTGTCCATTGCTTCTTTCTTTCCAGGGTATTGCGGTCAACCCTGTATCACTGTTAATTGATGCACCCAGGAGACGCAAATGGTCCACATGCAAAGGACTTTCTTGGTGCCTGCTGAGTCTTGGCAAGGGATCACTGTGGTGATAACCTCTGGTCCTTGTGAGAATAGGGACATTAGTCAGGCCTCGCCCCAAAGAGTTTCTTGATGTCCTGTTCCCACGGTGACATCGTTCACCCTGTTGGGGTTGCAGCATAAGTACTCCGGAGGTACAGAGGTCTACCGCTCCAGCTTGGAAGCTCCTCTGACAGCCCTAAACCCTGCTGCGTGCCTGCTCTGACCTGGGTTGCTCTGCCTCAGTTTAAGGCCTACGTGTGCTCTCTCTCCAAGGCCTCTAACATGGACAGAGAGAAGACGTGTCCTCCGTATGACATGAGCGTTTGAAACACAGGCAGCAAATAACAACTGTGGTTAAAAACATCATTTTATATACAATTCTGAATCCTAAAGTGTGGACAGAAAACAAGAAACCTACTATGTCTCCACAATGCACTGGTCACTTTCAAAGACGGTTGATATTATTTGTCAAAGAAAAGAGGAAGGGAGGGAAGGAAAGAGGGACGGAGGGAGGAAGGAAACTTGAGGGTGGTATTGTCATCTCAGGGTGAGGAATGAGGAAGGGTGATTTTGCAGGAAACTGGCAGAGTAGAGAGTTAGGTTCATCTATCAGTGATAACAGCAGATGCCCGCTGTCTCCCTTCCCTCCTGTCTCTCTTCTGGTGGGACAGCGTTGTGCTTCCATGGCTGCTGCAGTGCTGGGGAGGAGAGGCACCGTTCTCTCATGGAGACCCGCTGTGGCCTGTGCTTTGCTACTGCCTGTGTTCAGGACAGGGAGACCAGCAGGTAGTCAAGTGGGGTCTGATGGACGGCAGAGCTCGGTTCTAGGATCTCCTCATTGTGGGGAGACCCCACGAGCATTTCTAAGGAAAACGTGGCACTCCCGCTGCTGGAGGCCACCACACTGAAGACGTGTGAAGAGCTGAGGTCTGGATGTGAGTGACGGTGGTGGCAGGGAGAGGGTGGGCACAGAAACTCTCGTTCTGGGATGCTGGGGGAGTTCCATGGCTCAGACTATTCATTAAGGCTTACCCATCACCTACGGAAGGGGAGGGGACCTTAGGGGAGCACCTGCTAATTTCCCTTTTCTCATGTCTCTCACCAAGCTTCCTTCTCCATGGACACATGGGGGGGGGGTTGCCAACCCTCCACGCAGTGGAGCAATATTCTGTTAGCGGTTATGTCCGATTCCTTTCTGAAGGTATGTGTTACACTCTTCCTCCACCTCTAATGCTCTTTCCAGGATATTGTTGTTACCCCGGGTTTGGAATTTGTTATATTACTCTGCTTGCTGCTCCCTTTCTCTGTGCGGGTGCCTGTGTGTCTATGTGCCCGTCATTGTTGATTTAGTCGGCGTGAATGCTCTCCACAGAGGCTGGGGAGACCATTTGCATCGGTGTTTACCGTCGCTGACATCTCTGGACATGTGTTCAAGAATGAAGCCTCTGTTCACCGCTCTCCAGAGACTGATGCACCTTCACCCGGAGACTCATCTCCGAGCCTCAAACTCTGGCGGCCCTGGGTATGCAAAGCCAGTGCTGAGGGCTGCTGAGGGGCTGCACTTAGGTCCTGCTCCGCTTCGCAAGCTCCAGCTTTGTCCAGGGATATCATGGCTTCCGCCTCAACCAGAGTGCCGTGAAACCCAGGAAGAGCCTGTTCATAGCAACAGCCCCCACTCTGCGACCCTGGCTCCTAGACGGAGGTCTGAATTCTCTGCAGTCTCATATGTCTGAAAACTCCTGCATCTGGAAGCTTCTTCCTCAAGATCCCTATTCTCACTTTTCAAATTATGTTCTCATAACTTTCTCAAGCGACAGTGGCTGGTGGCCTACTTGCGGTACACACTTGTTCTCCAACACCTTGAAATGCAAATACTTCTGTCCTGACTTAAGTCCCTAGGTTTTGGTTCAGGATGGAGGCCGATCCAGCCTTGAAGAGCAGAACACTGTATAGATCGGAGCTCTCTGAAGGACTATGGGTTTGTTTGTGTCAATGCTCAACCTTGTGGAATCACAGCGTATAGATGGGGCTGATGACCCTCTACAGATGCTGTGCTGGAACCCCAAATAGGGACGGGCAAAGAGGCAGAGAAGAAGTTTTCCAAGGTTACCAAATGTCCTTTCTTTTTTTTAAAAAAAAAAAATGTTATTTGTATAGGTGTTTTGCCTGCATGTATGACTGTGTCCCACACACATGCCTGGTGCCGGGACAGGAGAAGGGATTAGACCCTTGGGAACTGGAGTTACAGAAAGTTGTGGGTCACTAAGTGGGTGCTAAGAATCCAGGACCCGTGGAAGAGTGACCAGGGCTCTGATCTGCTGAGTCATCTCTCCAGCCTCACCAAAGGCCCCTTCTAGAAGGAACTGCTTGCCGCTGCTGAGTCTGGCTGGGCTGAACTGTTGTGTGGGTCACTGACGTTTCGGGTTAAATTACAGAATGCTGTGCAGCAAAAACACATTAAAGTTTATTGGCAAGTTGTGAAACACAGCCTAATGAATTAGACAGCTATTCACATGGAATGGATGAGTAAGTAGGTATGCATATCTCATGGGTACCTTCACACTTCTCTCTCTCTCTCTCTCTCTCTCTCTCTCTCTCTCTCTCTCTCTCTC